AATCTAATTCAAGGCAACACACTCGTAAAATGGCCCTGAAATTGCATGTATCTCATGAAACAATACATAAACATCTAAGGAATATGGAAAAACTCCATAAAGAAGGTGTTTGGGTGAAGATAACACTTCAGACTATATCAAAAACTTTTTGCGATTCAGATTGATTGGGGCTTTCCTAATATCTAGGTCTTCATCTTGTAAAATGATAAAGGGAAAAATGTCAAAAAAATACACGAGACTACTTGGAATTAATGTTCCTTTGTCATTTATCTGTGAATATTAATAAAAAGTGCTAATACATAGATGTCTAAAACAGAAATAAACTGTTTAGAAACCCAAGTGTTAATAAGCACAACAATTTGTTTGCATTAAGCAATATGATTAAAATTAAAAATCTTCACCTAAGTTACAGCAATAAACAAGTTTCTTCATATATTTACAAAACTGTGTTACCAATGAAAACATATTACAATCTCTCATAAACTTGCAGTCTTAAACATACCTGTTAACACCTAGATTGTAAGAGCTTGTAATTTAATCATTCACTTCCAGATTATAAAAATATATACATACCTTGTTATTTCAGGATAGTAAGAATATGCATTCAGTATAAACTTATTCAGCTTTCAAAAGTTACAAAGTTCATAGGAAAGGTATAGCTTTACAGTCCAAATTGTTTTTTATATAAATCTAAATAGTTATAATCTGTATAATAAATGTTTAAGATTTTAAGTTACTATGTAAAATGAAAGTACCTCATTCAAAATCACAGAACTACATGTGATACTACTTATTATACAAGAAATCTAATAAAATGTGCATACACTTTTCACTTGCTGTAACATTCTGAGTTAATAGAAGCAACGTATTAATACTGTATTAACAAATTGTGGAAAAAAAACAGTCTAGACAAAACACCCTCACTTCTTTGTTTTCAATCCATCTGATTACCCCTAAGGAAATAAATGCCATTGGAAATTTAATGTACTACTCTGCATCATTTTGCTAATACACACAATTCTGATGACTTTCTAGATAGAATGAATTCTGTGAAATTTCACAAATTCTTCAAAAGGCAATAAGTCACTTGATTCAAAATAATCCCTATTATCAGATATTTTGTTTATATTACGAGTATATGTATATATAAACATTTTGAGTATAATGAATAATACTGAACTTTTTTAACATAGTAGTGCTTTATAGACACACAACTACTGACTGCCATGTTCATTTGAATAATGCCACAATAATTTTTATCAAATATGATTACAACTAATTAATCCTGGAAAATTTTATTGCTAATCTGTTAAACATAAAAACTATATTTTCTATTTCAAAATTTTTACATAATAAGCTTTTCCAGAAACTTTAAAACAAGGAAAAAAATCTTTAAAATTTTCTACCTGTAGGTTTTGTAGAATTGATTTAACTTGGTCTGCTATAGAGTTTTCCATACTGGCCAGCAGTTCTGTTAATTGGGTATTTCCTTCATGTCCTACTATTGCAGGCGCTGCTAAACTATGCCTCACACTGGTAAGACACTCCGAAAAGTGATGTTTCAAAGCTTCAAGACACTTCATGCAACACTCTTTTCCAGCACGAGATACAATATCTAGTCCTGTTCTGTAAAAACATTAAGAAAGATATTCCTGGGTAAATGTTAGTAATATAAAAAAAAAAGTGTTTCATATGCAAATCTGATAGAAATTATATCACAAAACACTAAATAAATTTAATGTAAGTAAATAGCAACTCAATAAAATGTAATAATTTGAATAACACAATTAGCTGACAGACAACATAGTTGAAGCTAACTGTTGTAGAGCTTCTTCATAGAATTGAAATTTGCTATTATCAAAGTATTCATGAAACAAAGCTCTTAGGTGTCAATTTTGAAAAAAATACAACAGCTGGGTTGATTTTGGTGAGTCTTGACAATAAATAGGAAAGTTTTATCACAGGCTAGCCTCACATTTTTAATATATTATGCAGCTACATCTGTTTAGTATCATATTACACTCATTACTTTTATATAAACTGCTAATAACGTTTTATAACAACAAATATATATTAGTTGCTTTAAAGACAAAACTGAACTACTCACAATGTATAAATATATTTGTTGTTTCACTACTTTTGCACAAACTACACAAAGGATTATCAGAGAAAAGCAATATCTGATACTGAACTAATAGACTACAAGAAAAGCAGGTAAGCAACATCATCCATTGCTATCTCTTGCCTGACCAAACAGTGAGCTTGGACCACCACTCTTATACTATATCCACATTCCCAAAGTGCCCTAAAATGCAGAACTCATTTTAGTAGCAACAGGTCACAACCCTTCAACAATCAAATTCACAGTTCAAGCATGTTAACCACTTGGCCATGCCATGATAATACAAATATGAAACTAAACATTTCACAAAAGCTTAGAAAGTGCAGTATAATTTTGGGCAATACAAACATTAAATTTTAGTCATTTTATGAACAATACTAAAGATTGAATAATAAAAGACATTTATATCAGTTGACAGAGCATTTCATATAATCATTATTGTTTCAAAATTTAATTGTATAAATTGTTTGTTCCATAAAACTAGACAGCTTCCAAGTGTTAGGTCATCAAGAAATTAATGTTGCTTTTTTTAGATGAAAAAACCCGAACAACTTATATATCAAAACAAAACATTTATTAAATGAAATAATCTCCATTCTTATTGATGATGTTTTCTATCTTACAATCAGATTGTTAATGCCCTGATTAAAGAAAACACTTGGCTTTGAAGCAAAAAATATGTCAATGTCCTCTTTAATACCTTCTACATTTGCATATGTTTTCCCATTAAGATGGTGTTGCAACGAACGAAAAAGATGGTAATCTGATGGTGCCATATCTGGAGAATATGGTAGGCGGGGGAGAACTTCCCAACTCAACTCCATAATCTTGTATTGCATCAAATGTGCCACATGTGGACGTGGATTGTCGTGGAAAAGTACACCTTTCCGATTGACGAGTGAAGTGCATTTCTGATGAAGGGCTTGATTGAAATGTTCCAGTTGCTGATTATAAATCTCTACATTGACAGTTTGCTGTGGATTGAGGAGTTTGAAATGAATTACTCCTTTGATGTCCCACCAAATGCAAAACATTACTTTCTGCGGATGGAGTTCAGGTTTTGGGGTTGGAAGTGGTTTTTGTCTATGACTGAGCCATTGTTTTTGGCATTTAATATTTGCATAGAGAATCTATTTTTCATCACTGGTGACAATTCTGTCCAAAAATGGTTTAAGAGCATTATGCGCCAGAAGAGACAAAGCAATGTTCACACATTGGAAACGATGATCATTGGAGAGTTTGTGAGGTTTAAATAACTTTAAGTTCAACAATAAACATTCAGTTACAGTTAATGATACAATCATGGATATGAAGCTGTGGGCAGATATTAAAATACAGCTCTTACATAAAATCACACACTTGGAAACATCACAGTCGTAACATTTACTGTTTTTGGATGCTTGATTCTGAATATCTATTTAACATAGTAATTCCTTCCTATGAATTTCGTTTTACCCTACATTACTTCTTTATCCAAGTAGATGTTGTTTGATGTTATAAAGAATAAACTTAATTGACAGATTGTAAATCACCAACACCTAAATGAAAAAATGCTTTGAACTCGTGATCATAGGCTCGGTCCAATGGACTGAGCCTGTACTGGAGAATTAACAATTACAGTAATTCCAAGTGTACTTCATATTTCTTCACAAAGTTTGGCAAGGTTTTAGTAAATGTTAAAAGTATGTCATTCCCAAAATATCAGATTTTTTTTTATATAAAGTATTTCTGCTGCTGAGGATTTACTGAGTCAGTCTGCACGAAAGGTGAATTTCATGATAGGAATAGAAAAATAACTTGTGTATGCCAATAACTTTAACAACAAAACAAAGTTTATAATGCAAATTTTAATATATTATAAGTTTTAATTTCTTAATTTCAAAAGGAAATATTTAATTTCTCAACCTTCTCCTATCTCTATTACAGGATGTAGCTGTATGCCAAGTTATCCATTTTAGATTTTTTTCTACCCTTTGATTGATCTCCCGAGTTTGGCACAAATTACTTATAATATAGATACTGCTAAGTCATAAAATAAATTTTCTTCTAAGCATATTGCTTTACTGAGATATAATTAATAGCTTAACATGCTATGATTTGCCAGAAACAGTGTAATGATTCATGCCATGATTTATTGCTGTATTGCCCAAAGGAGGGGAGGGTTACTGCTCCGTATAGAAAAATATAAACACAACAGAAAACAACATATTTAATAGAAGAATAAAAGTTTAAACTGTGAATATAAGAAACCTGTAACTTCATGGTCAATAATGAAAATGAAAGAACTGTGTTACTCAATGTATTTTATGTTTTTCAACCATTATTTTCATTACAATTAAATAATTTCTCTAAAGACCCTGGAGTCAAGTATATTATTTATGAAGAGCTATGTACAGACAAAATATAAAATGTTATTAAAAATCTTCTGATATTCATTTAAGAGGTTTCAACAGTTACACAATTAAGTATGAAAACAAGTAGTGAAGAAGGTCATGAAATAGGCACTTTGTAGCTGAGTAGAAGAATAAAAAATGTTCAATAGACAAATTTTTCCAGTAAAACTGGCCTATAAATTACAAATCTGTAACTAATTGTACCAATATTTTATCAAATACAGTGATATTTTGATAACCATATATTAGATAGAGAGATATGTTATTACTATTTACTCATAATTGCTTCAATTTAGTTATTTTTGTTGAAACATGTAACAATGTATAAAAACATTAATTTGTATTTGCTTCAGTTTGAGAAAATTAACAAGTCTTAGTGTGAGTGTTAGAGACCATATCTCCCATTTTTTTATTGTAAATGGATTTCATAACATTATAGATATTAGAAATTATAGTTTTTATCCATATATTTAATGTTACATGTTTCAACTAAAATAACAACATTTTAAGCATTTATAAGTAAATAGTAATTATATATATATAATATATTGTTACGTGTCTG